AGCCAGAACCAGCGCTTTACAGAGTATGACAAAAGGATCAACATGAATATGTAAAAACAAAGGAAAAACAACACAACAGTGACACTACAAGAAATTATAAGCCAAATTAAAAAGATAGGTCCTTAATTTACTTTTTACAAATTCCAATTCCGTACAGTAATTGCGCTGATTACTAAGACTAGCAAAACACAAGATGGGCGTGTCACAACACAACCCTATACAGACAATATACAAGAAGGAACCCGATGGTTCTACATACACAACAACAGACAATCAGAAATTGGAACTTTTATATCTCACGCAGCCCTCTCCGCCATATTTGGCTCATGCAGTGTCAGTAATTTGAACTTTTTTCTCCCCAGGCTAGCAGGCACTAAAAAGGGGGTAAAAGGTCTCATGAACTAAGTTCTCTTTTTGGTGTGAACGCAAAATCCCAGGAACTATCGGAACTAAACGGGAAAAGTACTCTGGTGTGAAAGCGCTTAATGTTTCACTTTTAAAAGTACCTACAGTGCATTACAAGAAAACTGGAGAGGCTGCTTTCTGTTTTTATATCGCCCCAAACTTTGGAGCAGCCTCCCATTTGATCTTAGAACGGCAACCTCAGTTGGAATTTAAAAAAGTAAATTAAAGAACCATCTTTTTAATTTGGCTTATAATTTCTGTAGTATCACTGTTCATGTTTGAATGTTTTCTTGTTTTTACATATTTTAATTTGATTGTGACCTTTTGTCATACTCTGTAAAGCACTTTGGTCTGCGTCAAGCATGAAAGGTGCTCTATAAATAAAGTGTATTATTATTATTATTATAAATGTATTTAGTGTCTGACTGATTTCTGTATTGATCCCCAGCGCTCGTCACCCGGCGGCTCTCAGAAAAGTTCCCGTAACGACTACATGAAGTCCGGCCTCTACTCCACCTTCACCATCCAATCACTGCAGGCCTCGCCCAACCCACAGCCAATCAAAACAGAGCTGCTGATACAACACGACGCCGCCGCCATGTTCGATCTAAGAGAGGTGAGAGATGCAGTTAAACAATATTTCTAACATCTTAATACATGATTGAATTCATGCCGCGTTAAGGATGGTATTCGACATTGAAATTTAAGCATTTTGATAATCGACCAGAAATGAACAGCCATCTACATGAAGCTATCGCTGAAACAGCATTTGTATTTCACTGTGATTTTTGATGATGTAGTACTGAGAACTTTACGTAAAGGAAAGTATAACCCAAAAGTATACTATATACAAGTACCAAAAGTAAAAGAACTCTCTATGCATAATAATGAATACAAAAGGATTGTATTTTATTTATCGATCCTTTTTTTGGGTTTATTACTTTAATGTTGCAGCTGATAAAGTTATTCTGAATTACTTACTATATACTGGCGAGTACCATAATAACAATAATAATAATGATGATTCTTAACCTCCTCTCTCAATCCTTCTTCTCCCTCCTCCTCCTCTTCCTCCTCCTCCTCCTCCTCCTCCTCCTCCTCAGGTCTGTGTGATATCAGAGTCTCCTCCGTCAGTAGGAGGTTCGATGGACTCGGCTCTGCAGGTGATCGTCACTCAGCCGTCTCCGTGTGCCACTCCGGCTCTCAGCCCGCAGATAACCACAAACGCCACCAGCCAATCACAGGTCAGTGTGTTTGACACAGAAGAGCAATAAACGTTTGGTTCTACGACATCAAATACGTCAGTAAATACCCCATTGGTGAATTTAAAAACAATTGTCTAAATGAGACGACTAAATGTCACCACGCCCAACATTAGCCGCCTTTAGCTTAGCGGTGGTGACGTGAAGTCATGTGACCGTGCTGTAGTTCCTTAATAGCCCAACATTAGCCTCCTTTAGCTTAGCGGTGGTGACGTGAAGTCATGTGACCGTGCTGTAGTTCCTTTATAGCCCAACATTAGCCTCCTTTAGCTTAGCGGTGGTGACGTGAAGTCATGTGACCGTGCTGTAGTTCCTTTATAGCCCAACATTAGCCACCTTTAGCTTAGCGGTGGTGACATGAAGTCATGTGACCGTGCTGTAGTTCCTTTAT